AGGTGGCCCAAAAGCCCTTTCCTCTGGGCTGGGAGCAGCGGGAGGGATGGTGACCCAGAAGCCCCTTCCTCTGGACCAGGTGCAGTGGGACAGTGGCTCAGAAGCCCCTACCTCTGGGCCAGGAGCAGTGGGACTCAGTACTGTGATCAGGTTGTCTGGTTTCCTCTGCGTCTTTGTAGTGTGGGACCGGGTGGCTGCCTGTCTGCAGTGGGGTGATTCGGTGTCTTCTGTATGACTTGGGACCTCAGTAGGGCATGCACAGACCTGCTTGTCTGCAGCAGGCTGATTCAGTGTGATCTGCAGGGCTGGGGACCTCGGTGAGGGATGGGCAGAATTGCCTGTCTGCAGCAGGGTGATTCAGTGTCTCTATACTATTTTGTTTTTAACCAAAAATTTCAGTAGGTTTTTGTTAAGTCTACTTGAATTACAGCAAAGTCTAAGTTTTGTTTGTTGTTATATTTCTAGTTGACCATCTACTTGTGAGAGTAGGATATTGAAGACACTCACAATTATTTCCTTGAATTCTATGTAACCTTTTATATCAAGAACTGTTCATGAAACTGGATACATAAATGTTGGGTACGTGTATATTTACAGTGTTTGGCTCTTGATAAATTGCTCCCTTTGCCAATAGGCAGTGGCCTTCTTTGTCTCTACTGAATCATTTCTCTTGAAGTCTACTTTGGTGGATCTCAGCATAGGTACTATGACTTAGTTTTAGCCTTCAAGCTAACTGAAGTGTCCCTTCCCTTTCAATCAGTGTCTTTTTGGGCCACATGTGATTCTTTCAGGCACTATATATCAGGGTATTGTGTTTTGATCCAGTCTGTTATTTTATGTCACTCACTGAAGATTTAAGACAATTTTATGAAATATTGTTAAATCTTTTGTAGTAATTTATTTCATTTTGTTCTTTTTCTAGTGTTTTTCTCATATCTGGTATTTTTTTCCTATTTCCCCAAATAGGTTCATTTTTCCCATCGGTCTCATGGTTGTGAATGCCCTCTTTATCTGTTGCAACTATTTCTGTAAGAAGTTCTGAACAGTATTTATTCAGTAAGCATGTTTTTGGACTTATCATTGAAGGTCTTTATTTTTCCTTCAGTTGGACTAGGTATAGTACTGTAAGTTTGTAATTATTTCCTTCAGGGTTTGAAGTACATCAATTCAAGCTCTTCTGGCTTATACATTTGCAGTTGAAAATATTTGTTTTTGCCTCTGGTTAATAATTCTAAGTGATTTTGCATTTTTTAAATCTGCACGTAATATTCTATGTCTAAAATTTTGCAATTTGAGTGTGATATGCTATGAGGAGTTTCTGTTTTGGTCATGTTTATTTGCCTGTTCCCTAGTAGAAGATTCTCCTGCAATTCCAGGGAGTCGGTTTTCCATGCCATTGGCCTGTACTTTTTCATCCTACTTCAGACTTCATTTCATTTGTTGAGATTTTCAGAGTTCTAGAATAATCTTCTCATTACTTCTCCTTCTTTATTCTCTTACTGGCCATTGTTGTAACACATTTACTTTGTCATTTAATTCCGATATTCTTTCTTGTTATTCATTTTAATTATTGTTGAGATTTTCGAATGAATTTTTCATTTGACTACTTAAGGACTGACTTCTCGGATGTTAATTCTTTTTCCAGAATTTCTATTTTTAGTAATGCAGTCCATTCTGATATTGCTTCTTGATTTTCTTTAACAATTGTTAAGATGACTATTTAAGGATTTGACTATTTCAGGCTTGAGTTCTAGGATTTATTAGTTCTTTTCCCAGAATTTCTCCTTTTAGCTATGCAGTCTGTCATATATTGCACCATGATTTCCACCTGGATTCATTCATTTCTCTATTGTACCTTCCTTTCTTTCATTCAATATTTAAGTATTTGATTAATTAAGCTCCTTATTTGAACCATCTTTGCTATCATTGATCATTTTCATTATCACTTGTTAAAATTCTTTGAAATTTCTTCCACTGCAATATAATGGAATCAATTTTTGGGAGGGGATTATGAATTTGGTAAACATACTGTTTCCTTGTATCTAATGATTCTTTGCACATGTGTGTTAGCGTGTGTGTGTGTGTGTGTGTGTGTGTGTGCTGAAGTTTGAAGATCATTGGGAATGGAGAGTGGAAGACCTATCATGTGGAGACCTTTTGAGCAAGCAGCTTTGTTGATGAGATGTGTCTTGGGCTGTGATGTCTCAGCCTGAAAGCATGCAGTCCACTCCTTGGTTCTCAACTGTGGCCTGAGGTTTTACTCTTAGCAGTGCTTTACAGGACACACTAGCCACCAATAATGTCAATATCTGTTGAACATCCATATATCAACATGTAAATTGACTTGTAATTTCTTTAACTTAAATGTCTTTTATGAGGTCACACATTCTATTGATGGGTTTGCCAAGAAAAACTGATAGAATATATTTTCTAAATCATGAAAACACAAAGAAATGAGTATAAGGTAAAACTATGCCTTATAGAAATCCCTGGTGAGTGGAGAGTTGAAATTGTTCATAAATATATGAAATAACTAAGATATTTGTGTGATGAGAAGAGCCCTAACAATATATTAAACAGTTAATATCTATTAAATTCTTACACCTAATCTCAAAGAAAGACAACAAGGAATTTCTGCAAATATAGTTTCTAGAAAAGACAGATATTGAAGGTAATAAAGTATGATTTTAACTAATAGTGATGTGATAAAATGCATATTTTATCATTGATTTTAAAATATGAGTAATACAGTACATTTTTAAATATTAGGATGAAATAATTAGTCTTAAATTATTTAAACATTGATAAATCTTAATTCTTAAAATAGAAATGTTCCATTTTACACACCTAAAATGATGAAAATTTTTTTACATAAAATAACTTCAATTTCAAAAAGTAGGTATTTTTATAATCACATGTTTAGTGTAAATTAATCAGTGTAATAAGTTTTATGCAAGTTTAAATAAAATAGTTAACTTGGGAAATGGAACTATATATTATAAAATAAACAAGATATC